AAAAACCAAAAAACATTTTTATATATGTATATGTCTACCAGCAAAGAATCAAGTCTCCCATACATTGTACTTGACTTTTCCAGAGGAAACTATTTATTTTCATAAAGCATCTGACCATGAATATTGATAATTAGGGCTGCAGTTTTGTCACAGATGCTTTGATTTTTCTGTTTGTGGGTGACTTTTCTTTGTGTCTTTGATTAACCCTGGACCACGGCCTGACCACGTTGACTGCCATACCTTGGGGCAAGTGATCCGGCAGCACCATGGCCAGGAAGGGTGGGGGCAACATGTTATAGGGGGAGTGCCCCGCCTGCACAATGTGGCAGGAGCCAAAGGGCTGGAGCAGAGAGCTGGGTCAGTCCTGCAGGATAAGAGCCGTTGCTGAGGGCTGAGTGCAGGTTCAGTTCGCTCTGAAAACCACCTCTCTTCCCGCCTCCATCACCCCAAGGACCTCCCAACCCAGGGACAGGACCTGACCTCCTCACACTGTGACTTTATACACCATTTCCTCCTAAACCCATAACATGTACTAGATTTACCATGACTGTAGTGTAATTGATAAAAATAATGCCGTGACAAATCTGCAGCCCTAATGATAAGTCGTCATACTTCTTACAGCAAACCATCTCAGACCGACAACACATAGAAACCAGCAAACATTAGTTTACAAAAAAGTCATTCCTTTTCATAAGCCATGATGATGTTCTGACATTACAAAACCACATCACATCTAACACACTCTGGTAACAGAAATGTGAAGACACGATCAAATGACATACATTTTCCTTTTACAAAAATTCTTTCCTTCTCACAGACCACAGCCATGCAGATAATTATTTTACACTTGCAATAGCCTACATTACTAATCAAGGTATTCCAGTAACAAATACCAACACATCTAGCAATCAGCTCATATTATAAACATATTTAACATGAGCAAAAGGAATTCTGTTGCCTCTTCATCAACTGTGATGATGCACTAATACAGTCCCAGGCCTGGGACATTCTGCTAAGAGAGATTACAATACAGTACTAAGCTGATATAAAAACTAATCTTCCCCGCTGGTTTAGCTGTTTTCCTCACAATTCTCATTAGTTTAGCGAATATTGGTCATTTCCATCTCCCCCCTGCCCCCATCTCCAACAACACACTCTCTTTGTTTGTTTAGCTGCTGGTCATCTCACTTTCCTTATGCCAATCCTTGTTCCCCTTCTCCCAACTCGAATTCGTTGACTGATCTATTTCCCTCCTAACTATTGGTCTTGCCACCCAATCCTTATTTTTTATTTTTAGTGGGTGGTTACCTCTCTCCCTCACTTCACTCCTTGCTGATTCAACAGCTTGTTCCCCCTTCGCCATTATCCTTACTGGTTTAACTATTGGCCCCCTTCCCCAGGACTCTTACCTCCTGGCTTCAGTGAGTTACCCCTATTGCTGTAAGCAGCTTTGTTCTATAGCAGGGTAGCGAGTCAAAGGGGCCCTGGCCCAGACAGGTGCAGTGGGAGAGGATAAAGCCCCTCCTCCAGGACTCCTACCCCACTTTCTGCAGCCAGCCCCCTGTGAGAATACAAGCAGCGGGAGCTCACTATTTAGCAGCATGTCTCCCTTCTCCAATTCTCCCTGCGCAGGTGCAGAGGATCATTATTCCGCAGGTCCCTGCAGCGACGTTCTGCGCAGGCGCTGAGCGCACGAAGCAGCAGGATGTTGCTGCTCCTGGCTCTTCCCTTCAAGGTGCGCGTGCGTGATAGCCTGGCTGTTCCTCCTCCGGCACCCTAAGGGGGGCTGCGCGCGCACACTGCCTCATCTCGGACTCCGGCGGACGCCTCCCGTTGCTGCGCACGCGCCCTCCCAACACCCACGGGCGTTGCGCGCGCATGCGCGCCCTCCTCCCAACAAATGCGTCCGCCCCTCCCCGATGTTTCGGCTCTCAGCGGCTCACATTTTGGCAGCGCTGCGGCACATGCGCCGTTCTCCTTCGGTTCCCCTCAGCGAGGATGGCTCACTATTTAGCAGCGGGCTGCCGTTGTCGCAGTGCCACTTGACCAGCCAGTATGGAAAGAGGGGCAGTGCGGAGCGGATCTCTCACTCCCAGCCAGCTGGTGAGTCCCTGCTTGGGGCTGCCCTACATGCGACTCTCGGAGGGGGTGTGGCGCCACCAACACCTCCCTGTGGAGATCCTGGGGTCTCGCCCTACTCCGCCATCCGGTCTCCCCTCCCCTCACCTGAGGTGGTACCGCTGGTTGTTGCTGTCCCCTTGTGGTCTCCTCCTACTGCCCCAAACCGATACATCCGGGCCTCGCCGCGACGCCGTCCCTCAGCGCCACGACGCCACGCTCGGGGAGAGGGGGGTGTGTGGAGAGGGACGCACTGAGCATGCGCAGCGTGCAGGGAGGCGGGAAGGGCGTCGAGTAGAACGGGAGCGTGGCGGCCGCGGCCGAGGCTCACGCGCTGAGGTGAGGTGAGGTGAGGTGGAGGTGAGGGGGGGGGAAGGCGAGGAGAACGCGGCGCGCGCGCATGGGAGTAGGCAGCCCCCCCCCTCCCCTCCCGCGGGCCCGAAGGCGGGAAAGCTGGGCTGAGGTGGGAGGCCTGCAGTGCTGGGAGCGGGGGTCTGTGTGTGTGAGGAGCAGGCTGGCTGGGGGGAGGGGCCGTTTGGGGGGGTGGCTCTTGAGGAGAAGGGGGGCTGCATGGTTACTGGGCTAGTGGCACCTGCGCCCCCTCTCAGGTGTCTAGCCAAGCTAGGGGGGGGGTGTCCCAGATTTCGCAGCCTTTGATCTGTAGTACCCCACTTATCGTCCCTGGCTTACCAAGCAGGGCCTAGTGACCTTCTTCCCTTTAGGAGTCTGCCCGGCGGGCTACGGGGACCAGACGGCCAAGTGGTGTTCAGTGGAGCAGCCGGCACACGACCTCTAGAGAGAAGGATTTTAAAACGACGCTCTTATCTGACTATCGCTCTTCCCGAAAGGCGTCCCTGTCTGCTGCCGGTAACCCAGGCAGGCCTGAGTTCTTCAGCCACCCCCAGCGGGTCCTTGGGTCTCCTTCCGAACGATTAGCATCCTCCTCTTCAGACGGGGTTCCTTTATAAACCAGCCCCAGGACTTTAGATCTTTTGCCTTTTCCTGAGTTGGTCCACACCAGTTTTGTAGTTTAGATAGAGAGGCGTCGGAACCAGCAAAGCTAATAGTCCTGTCGTCGTCCCTTAGCAACTCAAACATTTGCAGAGAGGTAGCTTCTCTTGAGCCATTCTTTTCCTTGCTGCCTCTGTTTTTTTTTTTTAAGACAATCTCCTGTTACTGTAAACTAATATAGTCATATGGAAAACAACCCCAGTGTAGAGTATTCATAAGTTGTTACAGTGCAGCTCGATATCTGTTGTAGCGTCAGATGAGGGAAGGAAGCAGGGAAGCTTTTGATGGGACACATTGTGCAAGGAGAAGGAAGGCTTCCAGTTACCAACCCAGGCTCGATTTGAACTGGAATCCTACAGATGGATACACTTTTGTATCCTGTAACCAATTATCTGAAACATGCAGTTCCTTATCTGACTTTGTTTTAAAAATTCCACTTCTCAGTGAATGGAGAGAACAGCTAGATGAAAGCTGAAGGCCAGCTAAGGCAGAGTCTACAATATTGTAAGTTGTCATTTTTGATTATTCTAAATAGGGATTGTTTGTTCTATCCCTGAAATGCAGGTACTTTTGCACTGGAACACAGCAGGTGCTTATCAGAGACTAAATGGATTGTAAGTAACAATAAGTAAGGAATCCAGTTTCCAATTAAAATTGTAAGCACAGTTAGGTAATTCCATAAAATAGGTTGCATGGCTAACATGCCTGTCATCGTTAAAAGTACTTCAGCTCTGTATTAAACAGAAATGATCAGAGCACTGGCATTTTATCTTAGCTGAAAGATGATATCACCAACAACCCAGTGCACCATGCTAGGACGTCCAGTACTAACTCAGAAGAGTGACACCTACTCTATTATTTCCTGCTGGGCTTTCCTTTCCTTGCAGGGGTCTCATCCAAGTAATCATCAGTCTTTGGACCCTGTTTGTTTTTCATATTTCACAAGCTGCTGCCCAAGGTGACAAAGCAGCAGGTCATGCTGCCTACTATGAAGAAATGGCCATAAAACTGCATTCTAGATGGCATGGGATTGCAGTTAACATTCAAAACTTGTGGAAATGACACATTTACTTTTCTCCCATGAACTGTTTTCTTATAACTATAATTCTTCCCTTTGCCCAACCTTCTGCATGCTCATGCTGGGTTTCTTAGAGCTTAAGGCCAGAAGGAACCATTAGATCATCTAATCTGACTTCCTGCATATCATAGGTCATTAAATATCATCCAAATACCCCTGTATTGAGCCTGATGACTTTAATTAGACCAAAGCATTTCAGTTCTCAAGAGACTAAACTGTTCTGTGCCCCATGCAGAGAACAGGAGAGATGAAACTACCACCAATGCCCGAGGACTCTGCAGAGGTAGGGAATAAAGTGAGATGTATTCAGATGATCCTAGCAGGTAAACAATAGCCCAGGCTGCCGAGGAAGTTGAACCCCCTTCCCCAAGGTCCCTGTCAGTTTTCTCTGGGGGAAGATTGCCAGATTTAGGGTTGTAAGTAATCAGTATAACCCTGAGTATGTGACCAAGACACATCTGCCAGGCATCTAAGAGAGAGGATTCTATGTATCACCAAAGAGCACTGGTCCACCTCATCTGGTGTCTTGTCCCAAGCTGAATCAATATCAGATGCTTCAGAAGAAGCAGGGGGAGGACCCAGAATACATTTGGCGGGGGGGGGCAAGATTCCTTTCTGATTTCTGCAGATGACTGGCTGATGCATGAGATTTAATTATAGGGTATGTCTACACTTCTATCAAAAGTGTGACTGCAGCATGTGTAGAACGGAGCTAACTTTCAGCTAGGTAGCTTGAATAAAAATAGCAGTGAATACAGTTTTATCATCTGCATCTTGCAATGGACTGATACCTGACTTTTGTTCCAAATATGCCCAGAAATGCTGAGTCTCTAGTGATGATCTTAATTTCTTGTAGTGGGAGCGCTGAAAGACTAAAATACTACTTCTAGTGAATTGCTTGCAGTGTTGTTATAGCCATGTTGGCCTCAAGATAGTAGAGAGACAAGATGGATGAGGTAATATCTTTTATTAGACCAACTTCTGATGGTGAAAGAGACAAGCTTTCAAGCTTACAGAGCTAAAGAAGAGCTCTGTGTAAGCTCAAAAGCTTGCCTCTTTCACTTCTCCTGGAAGCTAATGGAGATGTTCCTTTCAATCAACTGATTGAGCAACTGCATTTGGATCCAAGGGTTTCTGGTTAGATCAAGCACAGATGGATTTCTCACACTTTAAATGTTATCCATGTCATTTAAATAGGTATTCCTTTTTATATAGCTCAGGAAATGTTGGGAAACATGGATTCTTCATGTGGTCAAACAAGTTTGAAATATCAGTTTTTTATAATTGGAAATTTAAATCCAGTTGAATCATGAAAAAGATGAAATTCCCTTTATCCGTCATATGAAATGTTAACTTAGGTCAGTCCTGCCCTCTGCTGTAGCTGTGCATGTGGAAGTAAACATGCACATATAGAAAAGAGGACACTAGTGAGAGTGCTGATTCCCAGATGGAGGTAACTGCTCAGAGCTTGAGGATTTGAAAAGTGGTGCACTGATGTGAGTTTTGACACTAGTGTGCATGTGGGAGTACTGAACCCTCCAGTGCACACGTGTGGGGTATAAATTCCCCGGGATCATCTGAATGATATGAAACAGATTGTTTGTTTATTCTGCATGAAAAGATGCAGCAAATGCTAATGTAGAAATGGCTTTGGAGGTGCTGTTTCTATAGCCTTTGTGTACATAGATGTTTGGTTTGATGTGATGCTGATTAAACTGATGTCCTTGAAACAGTTGTGTGTAAGAATCTTAAACAGCTGCTGCTTTTTAATATTCACTTCCTCTTTTGTTTTAATTATTGTGTTCCTATATTTTTCCCTTTCAATTTACTAAAATGTAGAAATGTAATTAGAGGGAGGCTGGGCTCAGAGAAAGCTGCCAGTGTTTCTACATCATGATTAAATATATCCACCATCCCTTTTGTGAGAGACTGAAAAACTGGATTCTTATAATTATCTCCATGTTATCCAGGAAAGAATCGGTAACACGTACAGATACAAACTTAATGAAAATGCAGCACTAATTAAAAACTCATACAGGTTCCTGATGATCAGGAGGATATGAAAACAGTTATTTATTTTTTTTCCTCTATTTGCTATCTTTGTTACAAAACCAAACAAAACCTATCTCCAATCACTGGAGAGACTTAATGAGGCTTTTATCTATGCAACAGTCAAACACACAATGGAAGTTATTTCATTCACTTCTCCTTAGGCCGGGGGAAATCTGCACAACTCATTTTCCAAATGTAATCCCAAAGGAATGCTTCAGTGTGTTCATGAGCAATAATGGGCTCATTCCTTGCTCTGAGCATACAGTTGTTGTTTTTTAAAGTAAAGGTTTTAAAAATAAATCTTGATATTACTGGTGTTGTGTGGTTTAACCATAAAATTTTGGTAATAGTAACAGACATAAAAAAAGTTTTTCATAGAACTGGAAGGGACCAAAGGTCATTGAGTCCAGTCCCCTGCCTTCACAGCAGGACCAAGTACTGTCCCTGACAAATTTTTGCCCCAGATTCCTAAATGGCCCCCTCAAGGATTGAACTCACAACCTTGGGTTTAGCAGGCCCATGCTCAAACCACTGAGCTATCCCTCCCCATATAACGTCTATTAGGGTGTCCACTCCATCCTCCTGGAAATGCAGGATCCTTCCTTACCCCTAGATAAAGCTTACATCATACAATTTTGGGCAAGATACAAGCTTTAGTGCACTTGTTGAATGCACCAAGATGTGGCAAGTGTCTGCACAATCTGTGATATAACAAAGAGCTGCTGAGATTCGGGTTGTCTCAAGCAAGCCTATAGTTTTTATAGACTAGTTTTTCAAAGGAAAGGAAACTGGTGGAATCTTTCTTCCATAGCCCTCCTTCCACTAAATTAAATTCATAAGAGATAGTTGATAGTGAGATAGAAGGGCTCCTGTATTCCAACATTTCCTTCATGGGAAGCTGACTAGTAATTAGCATCTGTATTTTCAGAATGCTGTATAAATATTAACTAATCCTCAGTGGCCCATGAGGCAGGAAGTTAAATATTATTATCCTTTTAAAGTTGAACCACTGAGAGATTCAGAAACTTACTCAAGGCCTCTCAGCAAGTCATTAGCAGACTCCGGATTACTTTAGGATTTAGGAGTTTCTTGCACTTAGTCCTGTGCACAGACCACTAGATTACATTTCATGGGTGACATTCATCTGGGACTCTAGATGTAGGAAGAAGAGGTTGTGAGGGTTTATGTGTGTGACGAGATGGTCAGCATTATTTTAATGTTTGAGCATGAGACTGGGAGCCACAATTCCTAGGTTTTATTCTCAGGTCTTCTACCAACTTGCTCTGTGACTTTGAGCAAGTCACGTAACCTCTCTTGTTTCAGTTTACCTATCTCACAAGATTGTTGTGATTTATTAACTGATTCTGAAGTGCTTTGAAATTATCTGATTAAAAACATATAATGACAAAATATTACAGTATATGGTGGACTGCAGCAGCGTACTTTGCAATAAACAGAACTGCTTATGCCTCAGGTGCAAAAGATGCATTTAAAATACAAACCAAAAGGATTCCTAGTCTGAGTCTGATATGAGAGACAAACACTACTGCCAAGAGTCATTCTCTTAGGTCAGTGTGTAATATTAGGATCCCTGTACAAAACCACACGCCCAGATCTGAGTGCACCACTGCTTGTCAGGATTCACCTTCCTAGCTGCAGAACACCACAGGATACCCAGTGCATTAGTGTTATGTTTTGAACCTGCAGTCTTATTTGTGAGAGGGCTAATCTTGTTAGACAGCGCTGGTCTCCTTTAGAGAAAAATCTGATTTTGAGATTTTAATTGCAGGCAGTCGGTGTATGGTTCTATTTTTACACCTATTGGAAAAGTATCAAAGTTAATTTCTTAGTGGAGGAAATCATACTTTAAAATGTGCCATTATGAGGAAATGACTCCCTGATGTCTTTGAGTCAGTGCTTTGTTTCTTGTTAGAAGCGTCTCCTGTCTTCCCTGATGAGCCTGGCTCTTGTTTTCAGCGGCTGGTTTTCTTTAAGATGCTTTTGATCCTGTATTCATTAAAACCTGATCCTGCTGCTTCCCACCAGCCCTAATGGTCTGTAAAACTATTTCTCTTTCTCTAAGATCCTGTTAACTCTGCCAGCACCTACAGAGCAGAGGAGCTCAAAATATTGTCAAAAGTCCTCCAATTTATTCAAACCTGCTTCTCTCCACAAACAAAAATTAATCTTCAATGTTATCACAGCAATCGATTTTAGTGGAGAAGTGGAACTTGGGTGGAGAAGAATCTAAAGGATTTTTATCACTGCTGTTTCCCCCTCTGCAGGTAGAGAAGGATAATTGGACAAAGGACTTGGAAATAGAGAATGATTTAGCCAGTATAACAGGAGGTAGGAAGACCCAAATGAACAAAAAGAGAAAGGGGGCTTCAACAGCCATTAATCAGGATTAAAAAAGGACGAGCTACAGAAGAGGGTAAGAGAAGAAACAATGAAGAATGAGATGAGTAGGGGACAATGAAGAGAGAGGATCTAGGAAAGGAGTAATGATTATTTAAAATTTCATCTAGATTGAGGAGGAGGAGAGAGTGGAGAGAACTAAGGGAAAAGAAAGATGAAATCTGACTAGTCACCTTGCAGGGAAAGAGAACAGGACCAAAAAAGGGATAAAGGACAAGAGGATGAAAAGAAGACAAGGTTTCCAAAACCTACTCAGTTTGGTTTTAAACTCCTAAAGTGATGGTGTCAAGGTACATAGCTGTGCAAGGAGCACAGCTTAGTTAGGTTCTGTGACGTTGCAGTCTATATAATTTTATAAAAATATGCTACTGAGTGAATATAATGTAACTGGAATATGCTTCATGTAAAAGGTCTCTTGTGAAGTATCATTACAAAGCTTATAATCTACTGAGTCAAGTATCAGGGGGTAGCCGTGTTAGTCTGTATCTACAAAAACAACAAGGAGTCTACTGAGTGTGATCATCCTGTTTGTATAAATGTACCACTCTTGTATCTGAAACTAGAAATATGAACTATAACTCTGCAGGCCTATTGTAATTATGCAAAGTGTTGGCCATTACTGGTGGTTTGGAATCTTGATGACTCCCGTTAACCAGGACAATTGTCTGCGGATGGGTGTGTTTTACCTGTAAGTCTTCCTGTATACCTGTGTGCTGGCAAGTGGGCAATGAAGTCTTTCAGTGACGTGATCATGTCACCTGAACTGGAATCCATTTTTAACCTGGTGTCTTTCCATTGAGAAGGAGGGGGTGGGAACCCAGAGAGGGACAAAGGATTCCCGCCTTATGCAAAAGATATATAAAGGGGTGGAACAGAACAAAGGGAGGAGAGGAGCCATCATGAAGAATCCCCTAGCTACCACCTGAGCTGGAACAAGAGCTGTACCAGGGGAAAGAATTGTGCCCAGGCCTGGAAGGTGTCCAGTCTGAGGAAAAAACTCACTGAAGCATCTCTGAGGGTGAGATTATCTGTATTCAGTTTGATTAGACATAGATTTGTGCATTTTACTTTATTGTGCTTGGTGACTTACTTTGTTCTGTCTGTTAGTATTTGAAACCACTTAAATCCTACTTTCTGTATGTAATAAAATCACTTTTTACTTATTAATTAACTCAGAGTATGTATTAATACCTGGGGGAGCAAACAACTGTGCATATCTGTCTATCAGTGTTATAGAGGGCGAACAATTTGAGTTTACCCTGTGTAAGCTTTATAGAGGGTAAAACAGATTTATTTGGGTTTAGACCCCATTGGGAGTTGGGCATCTGAGCGTTAAAAACAGGAATACTTCTGTTAGCTGCTTTCAGGTAAACCTGCAGCTCTGGGGCAAGTAATTCAGACCCTGGGTCTTTGTTGGAGCAGACGGATGTGTCTGGCTCAGCAAGACAGGGTGCTGGAGTCCTGAGCTGGCAGGGAAGGCAGGAGTAGAAGTAGTCTTGGCACATCAGGTGGCAGCTCCCAGGGGGTTTCTGTGATCCAACCCGTCACAAGTCCCACTTTCTTTTTCACTAATGGAAAAAACCTCATGTATGTAAATGTACACCCTTTAACTGAGAATAAAACAATGAAAGTTCATATTATAAATTTACACTTATTTGTTCTTGTACAAATTACACCTCTACCCCGATATAATGCTGTCCTTGGGAGCCAAAAAATCTTACCGCGTTATAGGTGAAACTGCGTTATATTGAACTTGCTTTGATCCGCCGGAGTGCACAGCCCCCCCGAGCACTGCTTTACTGCGTTATATCTGAATTCGTGTTATATCAGGTCAAGTTATATCAGGATAGAGGTGTATAATGAGCATTATAAATTGCAGCATCCATCTTAAAGCATTTTAATAGGACTCTATGACTTTTTTTCTCCATGTTCAGCTTATCAGTTGCTTTTGCTTGTTTCTGCTTCCTCAAGAACAGTGTTTTACAATAGGTCTGGAATGGCATTAGGTTGTTGTAATCAAAAGGTGGCAATATAACATTCAGATGTTTAGTTATGGTTTATCACCTTTATCAAACGTATCTTAAGGAAAGAATACGTCTGTGCAGGACCGAATGCTATTCATTAATAGAGAACTTGAGAGGTTAAATGACATGCTATGACATCCAAAATAATTATGTTAAAAGAATGTTAAGGTTGCAAAGTCAAACACTCCAAAGATAGGAAATGTCAGAATTAAATTTTGCCAGGCAACTTCAATTTGGCCCCTGTGCACATATACACTTTAATCACATGATCACATACTATTTCCCCCCCCCCCCCCCCACCAGGTACCATGTCTCTTTCAGTGAATGGGCAGCTATTTAATATTTCTTTTTATCCTCCACAT